CCTGTAACTGCAGCAATAGTCATTTTTCTGTGGAGAGCAGCAACAAGCACTGCTCCATCACCACCAAATACCAATGATGAACAACAAATACTCACTAGTGTACTCCATTTGATAAATGATGTGATATTTTATTGTGAAGTCGGCTGGGACTTCGGTTTTCCAGTAGACTACAAGTCAGTTTAAATATGATAGTCATGCTAATGTCACAAGGCCATCACTAGTACACTATTACGTTCATTAGATTTGATGTATTTATCATTTTGAGGATGCATGTTGCTATGAAGTTCAGGCTGGTTTTGAGGTCTCATTATAACCCAGAGTGGTCTCAAATAATTCTCCTTCCTTTTTGTCTCAAGTGCTGGGCTGCACACAAGAGCCACCAGGCCTAGTTTACATTTGGCATATTAAGTGCATATTCAGGATATTTTGTTTCAACTGTTTTTTTTTTGTTGTTAAAGAATTTCCATATTTTACCTCCAGCATTTGTAGAAACTTTGGCCTTATTGAGGTGGTGATGTGCATATCACCAGCCTCATGACATTGCCTGCTTGGTTAAGAGCTGTCAGTGTACTGCAGTGAAACATAGCTATACATAACTGTTTCTTTTTCTACTTTCCTTAGAAAAGATTTTTAAAATTTCCATGGATAATCACAGGGTCAATAACCCTGGTTAGAGTTTCACGCAAATGCTGACAGTTAAGTACAGTGTAGGACTAACCTGAAGATACTCTCTGTCATCTGAGAGTCTCTATAAGTCCTTTCTGTACACACACTTTGTGCCTGAGCCAGCACCTGTTGTGGGTCCCAGAGTCTGCTGCAAGGCCATGGAACACATAGCTTTGTGACTGCCTCTAGAATGGTGTCCTATATGCCACTCTGCTGAGGCAGAGCACAGCTTCTGGCAGGAAGCCAAGGCTCTGAGGCTCTGAGACAACACTGGTTTTTCTTTGTGAACACAGATAATATTATATTTCTGAAAGACAGTTCTGTCCCATATTTCTACCCAGGAAGACTAAAGATGAATGTGGAGACTGTGGATTAAACACGGGTGTTGCCCTTCTGCTCTGCCAGCCCTGTCTTGGGGGGGAACCTGACAGTGGCCCAGGCTTGCATCCTCCCAGGATCAGCCCTCAGGGCATGTCAGACCCAGTCACACTTGACTTAGGGCAGGAATTGTGCAGGGGGATTCACAGTGGTAGTCAGGCCTTAATGTTACTCTGCTGGACTCAGTGAGTCTGAGTGGCTTGTGGCTGAGTCTAGTGACACCTGTCCTGGTCTCTCTCCTGCCTCTGGGTGCCAGAAGGCTGGGGACAGTGAGCCCTGTCCTTTAATGCCCTTGTCATTTGGCATTTGCCCACAATCATCCTGAAGGCTCTGGGATGAGTGAACCATTTTTTCAGCCATTCCCACATGGTCTACCTATGCGGGATCCTGAGGCTGGGGTCTGATGTCCTGGGAAAGCAGCATAACCTGCTCCCTGTTCACTGTCTTGAGCCAACTGTCTGTAAAGACCAACTGTCACCAGACCAAGGTGCCTGGTGACCTGAGCCTTCAGAGTTCTGTTTGGACCTATCGCCAAGGAAGTGAGGTCATGCACTGGGGTCCAAAGTTTGGCCTTACTCTGTGATATCACCTTTCTTTTTGTTGTGGAACAAATCTATGTCCTCCTTAGAAACAACAAGTTAAAATGCTAGAAAACTGTGTATACATTTAGATTTTCCTGCACTTTGAAAATTTTAATGCAGCAAACATGTAGATGCTTCAGATGTGCCAGGCTGGGTGCCAAACACAAATGTCCATCCAAAGGATCCATTGTCTCAGAGGATGAAAGACACATTGTCTTCTGTTAAAGATTTGTCAAATGTTAGGATGACTTCCTTTCCTGGGCTCATGTTAGTTTCATTTCACTTCCATTAGGAAGCAGAATACCCATAATAATTTTACCAAATAATGTGAAGGTCTCATGTTATAAACCCCATATATCCAGGGGAGAAGGATTCATAGCCAGTTTTACTCTCACGTGCTTAGGAATGATTATTTATTCATCCTTAGATGTTCAACTTAGCTATACACTGTGGTGCTCCAAACTCTGACCTCCAGGGAGGGGGGACAGCAGGTGGTGAGTACAAGGGGAGGTGACATCATCACCCCGTACTGATGAAGGACACATGTGCATCACTCCTGGAGAAATTGTCTCCTAGCTGCTGCTTTCACTTCCTTTCCTCCCATCCCAATCAGACCATGGGCTTTGTGTCCCTGATGGGTAGTTTCCCTTTCCTAGAGGTGATGGTGCTGAGCCTTTTCATTTGTAATACTCTTTGGTTGGTCTCCTTGAAGCAGTGTTTCCATGCTGGGCTCTCTCTGTGCTGCCACCACCCACTATTATGTGGCTGAACCAAGCACATGCACGTGTCACCCATCTTGTGATGGCCATTTATTTATGTTTTTGAGTCAGACTTCAAAAGGAAGCTGCCACACTCATTCTCACACAAGCATTTGAGTGGATACCAACATTTATTTCAAAGAAAGTGTGTCATATTGCTGTGTGTATGGATAACTTAGAAATTCTTGCTGTATCTTTGGAAGCAGATGTTTAAAGCAGAGTTATGTGGTTCCTTTTTTATTTTGTTTTGTGTTATTATGCTATACTATATTATGCTCTGTTATGTTATATTATGTTATATGCTGGTGAGGATTTTGAAAGTCCTTCAGGGTGTTTTCAGTACTTTCTGATTTGGTTTTGTATAACCAATCTGATTAACGTTGAAAATATCAAAAACTTTGAAGAGTTTTGTTTTGGAGAAAATTTAAAGAGGAAAACACAGTCAGGGATGTTGGTGCACACCTGTCATTCCAGGCCTCTGAGGCAGAAAGTTTGTGGTGAGTTTTAGGTCATCCTGGGCCACAAGGGAAGATCAAGGCCAGACTGAACTGCATAGCAAAACCCTGTCTGAAGAAAAAAGGAAAGAAGAAAGAGAGCAAAAAAATGATAAAAATGAAAAGTCAAAAATAGACTTTCTAGTGAGAAATCTTTGTGAGGTTCTCTTGCATGTGTACTTTAGTCAGCACACCTAGCATAAGTTTACCATCATGGAGACATTGATGTGCTTCCTGGTGTTTGTACTCTTTCAATTTTTTAAGGCTTTTTACTTAGATGACTGCAGATATGCTGCTGAATATATCCTCTTAGGATTTGGGTAGTTCAGTATGAAGAGATTTTGATCATTCTGGTTTTTTTTTTTTTCCTGTCCTAAATTTATATTTAGTACCAGAATTTGAGCAAGGGATTACTAGTTTTATTTTGAAATCATAATAAGAATCATATAAAGATACACTTTTTAAGTCTATAAAAAGATAAAATAAGTATAGATTAATAGTGATTAATGTACCTTGTTCAGTGACTTCTGAGATTTCTTAAAGATCAATATTTTCATACATTTGTAAAAGCTTTGGTTTGGTACAAATTTTAAGACATTGTCTCACTAATATTCTAAATGTCCCAGGCTAGGCTTAAACCTTTCCTCATCTTTCCTCCCTCTCCCAGAGTGCTGGGATTACAGGTGTATATTATCCTGAGTTGGCAATGGGTAGCAATGTTGTGTATTCATGCAATAAAATGTTTGGCTTTGGTCTTCAGACACTTTGTAGAAGGAGTCATCTAGTTAAGCTGTTCACCACCTTCCTAGCCTGCAGGTTCTTTCACAGTGAGTAGGACTGAAAATGCCATTAACACTGTTAGTAGATGTTAGGTCTGAGAAGGGGAAGAGAGGGAAGGAGTGGAGGAGTGGCCGGCGGTGGTGGCTGCACAGATAAGAAGTATAAAATATAAGTAACCTTTATTTTGGGAATGCGGGGAGAGACCCCTCCAGCCCCCAGAGCGCAGCATGTCCACCCTGGGGCCGGGGAAAGGAAAAGAAAGGAAAGAAGAAATAAATAAAATTCCTAGTGATTTTGTCACTTGGTGTACACCTGGCCAAGCTCTTTTAGTCTGTGGTCCTTTTCTTCCAGTGTAAAACTCTTTTGACCACTGTTACTTTATAGTACCTGGAAACTAGTATTTTGATTCCTCTACTTTTCTTTCTATGGCTATAGGATGACTCTTTGTACTCCCTTGTGATTTTTCATATTTTTTTATGTTTCTAGGAAATTGGCACTGATACTTTTCAGTGCCAGGAATAGCACTGAAACACCTGGTTGCTCTGGGTCGCATGTACATTATAACATGAATTCTTCCCATCCCTCATCACAGTATGGCTTTTCTTCTGTTAGTGCTCTTCTACTTACTGCATTCCAAGAGATGTGAGTTTGCTTCAATTTCCCTAATCATTAGTTATTTTTGATTATTTGTGAAATGAATTGTTTTCTTTGTATTTGAGGCTACAATTTGTTTGTCGTATGTAGTAATGAAATGATTAGGGCATGTTGCTCATGTATCCTGCAATTTATGTGATTTGTGAATTTGTTCTATAAGGTTGTCAAAGGAGTTTAAATTTCTTATATACAATGCTGCACCCTCAGGAGAACTGCAACAACAATTAATTCTTCCTTTCTGATTTGGAAGGCTTTGCTTTCTCTTTCCAGATTAAATTCTATGGCCAGGACTTCCAGTACTGTATGTTGAAAAGATTTGCAAGCCTTGTCTCCTTCCTGACCCTAGAAGCTAAGCTTGCAGCTTGTCAGGCCCTGAGCACCATGGCAAGGATGGAGCTTGTCATGCTGTGCTGAGGTCCATTCCTCCTACTTATAGTTTATGAATTATTTTTATCATGAAAAAATGGTGACCTTTTGAGCTTCTCAAAGCTGTTTTTCCAAATCTCTTCAGGGGTTAGCTGTGCGTTATGCTGTGAATGTGGTAAGCGACACCTAATAGTTTGTGCAAGAGGGAATATTCTTGCACCACTGAGATTGAGCCCAGTGTTGATTGTGTTGGTTAATTTTGAACATGCTGGTGAGTTAATGTGGCAAACATTTAGCCTAATACTTTTGTGTATGTCCATTAGGAATATAAGCCAACAGAGTGTTTTCATTTATTTTATTTTTAACACATTATTGTCTGGCTTCATTCTCAGGATGACTTGTCACTTAAAAGATGTTGGTGGTGGTTTTTTCTTCAACTTGATGGAAGAATTGAAAAACAATCAGTATTCATTCTTTATCACATACTGGATAAAATTCACCAGTGCACGTATTGTATCCTAGTTTTATTGTTGTTATTAAGCAGCTGTGATTTTTACACATTGCCTGTGCTCCTTACTGCTCTGTTCATCAGACTGTTTCCTTCTGAAGTGTGTGCTTTGGGGACATCAATGGACACCACATATCCTTTAATGGTCACGTCTCATTTTATTTATGGATGCTACCATTTACTTTTGTATCTTCAAACTATCTCCATAATATATAATTTTATGAGTAACTCCTTTCAGTTACACAGTTTTTAATGCACACTCTTGCAGGTTTTGGTTACTGCTGGAGGAAACTGGGGCTGGTGAGGACCTGGTCTCTTATTTAAGACTTTGTACCCTGACATGCATGCAGTGCCTCCATCTCCTGGCCTGCACCCTGTAAACACCTGTCCTGTTCCATAGCTATGGAGAGTCCACATGTGGCAGTTCAGATCTGCACCTGGGTGCAAAACATTCAGTCAAATTGAGCTCTGTAACAGACTGACCTTCTCATACAGAGCTCCCCTGAGTGAGATAAGGGGCCTCAGGCATGTAGGGAGGAGCTCTGGAACCATTCCAGCTCTCTCCTGTCCAATGTGGAGTGTATGACGCTTTCCTTAGAACTCACTGATGGAGGAGGCAGCCTGGACTGGGCCCTTTTTAGCCATGGTTCCTGCTAGGTGCCATTGTGTCCTGCACCTCTGCCTGGACCATCTCTCTGACTTCAGATCTCCACAGAGATCTGAGCAGACTCAGTCATCCTCGACCAGGCTCTAACTCTATGCTGAGGCTTCAGGTGAAATATCTGTGTCCCTCAAATTCATCTTATATATATTTAACCTGGAAATTCCACTTCTAAGGGTCATTATAAAAAATGAGATTGATAGACACCATATTCTCTTCTTAATCAGTCAAAGTGTGGACAGTTAGAAACCATGAATGTTCCAGAGCACAGCTGCTGAGTTAATTATAAATGACATCCACTCAAAATGCTGAAAGAAGGCCATGTCCCTGATCTTTCCTGAGATGGAAGAGAGCTTGTTTCCTGGCTCTCTCTCCACCCAGCAGTGAAGAGACACAAGCCTGCACAGCAGGTGAAGACAGGAGAGAGGAGCTGGTCAATGGCAGACTCTCATCCTGGGAGGGATGCCTTTGGGGTTTTTTCATTGCATTATTTATAGTGCTCTACTCAATATTACTTCTCTCCTGTTCAATTCACTTAAGAATAAATAGTTGGTATTTTCTTGAATAGGTGAGTGAAATGGATGACTTAATTTTCTTTTATCTGTACTGTAGGATAAGCATATAGAAGAATATTCAAGCTTCACTTTATAGATATACAAAAGAAGGAATCTTTTTATTCAGAAAGGCAACACATCATTCCTGACTAACTTTTAAACCCCCAACACATGAAGCCATGCGGATCCCGCTGTGGTGGGTGTCCTTCCCTCCCTACCTGAGAAGTCACTGTGTTCATCTGTGTCTGGTAGAGGACACCCAGAATCTTCTTCGGAGTCTCTTTTCCAGCAAGGAGGACTGGAATCTTCCTGTGCTCAGGCCAAGCAGGGAGTGTGCAGCATGCAGAGGAGCCCAGCACCTCCTGCCTTACACCCATTTCCACCACTGCATCCATGCTGCAGCCCTGCAGGCCCAATAAGGCAGAGCCATGAGGGTGCAGCAAAGACTCTGCCACCTCAGCCCCAGGGGCCTCAACTCCTGGGTCCTGGCCTCAGCCTCCACCAGGCTCCAGGCTCTGCGCTGGGATGGACTTACATAGTGGGCCAGACACACCATCAGTGCCTTGGGACTAAGTCCATTTTCCACAGTGACCCTTCCATTCTGCATATTTTGATCCTTTCCTTTCTAAATGAGGCTGAGGCATTGGAGACAAAACCCCACACATTGGCATTACTTTTTGTTTTTCTTTCTTTTCCCTTTTTTCTTCTCTTTCTTCTTCTTCTTCTTCTTCTTCTTCTTCTTCTTCTTCTTCTTCTTCTTCTTCTTCTTCTTCTTCTTCTTCTTCTTCTTCCTCTTTTTCTCTTCATCTTTGTCTTTGTCCTTGTCTTGGACTTCTTAGTCTTCTTCTTGGTTTCTTTGTTGCTTTAAGCATATATTTAGAGGTGCATTTTGCCAAAAACCTTTCTTTGTCTTTTCACTTTCCAGTTTACTAAAGTTTTTACAGATCTCTACTGCAGTTCTAATTCTATGTGTTTGAATGCTCAGAATCCATTCTGTGGCTTGGTAGAATGAGGGAAATAAAGCAGAAGCTGAACTTGTGGAAGTTTTTGTGCATTTTAGCATATCGTACAACAACCCCGGACTCATGGCTTTTTATCTCAAAAATAGGGACTTCAGCAGCAAGTGAGTCTGCCACAGACAAAATGAGTTTTCTGTATGTATTTCAAACAATCTCATTTCCCCTCAACTTGTGAAGCACATGGTATAGGATTCTCATGGCCAAACTTGAAAAATTATTTCTAGTACATGAAAGGCTGCCACTGATCCTGAAATCATGACAGAACTTTCTTGGAAACATATAGTCTGATCCACCCTCTGGCAGACAGAAGCTAAGGGAGTCAGAGATGGCTGGCACAGATAGAAACACCTCAAAATTGTCAACTACCATTTGCAACAAGCAGGAACAACGTTGCTGAGCTTTCACTGTTAGGTGATGGAATTGTGTGGTGGGTTTTGCACTAGGTTTTCTGAGGCAGCTCAGTAAATCTAAGTTGCCGCCTCGATCCCCCTTCCCGCAGTGCAATACAAACAGAAAGTCATGAACATGCATCATTTATTTGAAAATTTCTATTGCAGTTATGAAACCTGTATGCATGAGAGTCCACATCTGTGCCATAGCAGACCCACCCACGTGCATTACCACCATATCTTGTAAAAGGTCAGTTTATTTATACAAAATGCAGAGTGATGTTCTCAGCCTTCATTTTCCAGACTGGTGCATTTCTTGAAGGGAAGTCATTTCTTGAAGGGAATTTCTTGAAGGGAAGTTGTCAGTCATTCTTGAAGGGAAGCTAAATGATTTAGTTTGAGTAAACTTCAAGTATGTGGCTGTGATTCTGTGTGATGTCCTCGCTGCCAGACATGAGGAAGGCAATGAGTGGCATCTGCTGGAGGTTTAGCTCCAGAGGGACACACTTTGCACAGCTGTGTCAGGCAGGGCTCTCCATCACTGACTGGCCACCCTGGTATACAAATACCCTTGCCCAGTGTTGTCTCTGGCTTTGGGAGGTGCTGGATTGCAGTGGAGATGCCCAGTGTACTGGCTGGCACTGGGGAAACCTTGTCATGCCATGAGTTTGTCATCCTTAGCCCTGCACCTCTGTGGCCCTGGGGCCAGAGCAAGCTTCCCCCCAGCTGCAGTGCACAGCATCGTCCAGACAGCTCTCCTTGTGTGTACTCTATGTGGAGGCTAGCAAGGGTCCCAGCTCATTCCTGCTTCAAAGAGTACTGTGAATCAAAAACTTGAATATTTGTGCAGCATTCTGTGTGGGAGAAAACTCTATTCTTAGTCCTAGGAGTTCTAGGGAAGGCTGTTTAGAGCTCTGATGGGAGCTGTGAGATATGGCTGTGCTCTGCCCTTCCCATTATTCTTCAGCACCTGCCTTAAAATGTGTCAGTTAATGGGGCAACAACACATTTCAGGGATGTGTGCCTGCATGAAACCAGTTTAGGAGGCTCAGTGTTTTCTGGGCTTGTTGGCCATGTCTGGTGATTCCCTTTGAGTTAGAAGAATTTGCCATTTTCCTCACAAAATGGACTCATGAAACCTCTTTCACACTTGTAAGAAAAACCATCTATCTGACTATTAGTTATAAAGAAAGGTTTCCTGTTTTGGTTTTTGCGTTATTGTTGTTTTTCTAATGAAGTGAATCAGCCCTTTGTTGCTCCCTTTGTATCACTGAAATCATGGAAAACATTTTCAGAAATGAAAAAGGTGAGTACATACACAATGGTCTCTGCATTTTTCCCTGTAGACTTTTTTCTCTAGGATTTTCTCTTCTTTCAAAGAGCAGTAGCAGCCAGTCTCCTCCAGGAATGTTTGGCCAAGCAGAATCTGATGCACTGATATGAAAGACCCAGGGTACTCCCTGGTAAGCGGCCATAGTGTGGCCCACTGCAGCCCTTCCAGGGGGAGAACTAACAGTGTCTCCTGAGATCCATGCCATGTTGGAACTTAGGACTCAGGGAAGCCAAGCCAATACCTCCTCTCCCTGGTAAGCAGAGGCAGGGTGGCAGACTGCAGCCCTTCTAGGGGGAGAACTAGCAGTGTCTCCTGAAATCCATGCCATGCTGGAACTGAGGACGCTGTGAGAACAAATGACCATTCTGCCTCCCTGCTTAGCAATAGTGAACCTACTGCTACATGGCCTAGAGTCAAATATCCCACTTCCCCTATCCTCCTTCCCCTCCTCCTCCCCACACATTAGCAAGTGGGAACAAAGAATCTGAGCATCTCCTGGGAGGTTGACCATAGCAAATAATGGGGACTTCCTTCTACCATTTCTTTGAAGGCAAATAGTTTTATTACTGTTTTGCTCTTTTCTGATTAATGGTACTGCTCTATTCAATATTCTGTTTTGATAAGTTCTATAGTGTTCTATATTTCATCTCATTTTTAAATACAGGATTGAAAGAACAACTACTATAAAGATAACAAAATATACTGTGATACCTATTACTGTTGTTCCTGTAACCTGCTGGGAAGTTCTGTACCAATTTCACTGTACAATCTTAGTTGGCTTTATTCTGACTTGTTCTGTTGTATACTTTCAAAATAAAAATTAAAAAAAGAAAAAGACTTAGTGTAGTAAATCACAGTGAGAGAAAG